TGATTTAGAAGACTATAACATCGAAAAAGATGGAATAGAAATGATATATAAAAATGAAACTTGTTTCTTATCAAAAATATAAATGCCAAAGGAAACAATTTTTAAGGTTTCAGTTTTTATAGAAATAACAATATATGATACAAAATCGACAACTTGTTGTCAAATAGATAACGGATCAGAAGCAAGTCTAGCAAAATCTTTTTTAATAAAAGATTGGGACTTAAATAAAAATAATATCTCTATGATAGGAATCACAGGAGATAAAGAAAAATTAACAAAATCAAAAGAAAAGGTAGAAATAATTTTAGGATCGAAAATTGTTTCAATAAACAAATTATTTGCTTATGATAAACTGGAAACAGATTTATTATTAGGAAATGATTTTATACAACAATTTCAGAATTATCAACAAACATTGTATATAATAAATTTAAAAACACCTTGTGGACATTATATCGAAGTCCCAAGAATACAAAATGTTTATAATCTTGAAAAACATAAAGATAAATATGAAAGAAAATATTTAGATAATTTAAGAAAAATTACTTGTAAATGTCTTAATTTAGAAAAAATTAAAGAAAATTTACAAAAATCATATGGGGAAAATCCATTAGAAAAATAGGAACAAAGCCATGAAAAAGCAAGTTTAATACTAAAAGATCCAAACATAATAATTAGGGTAAAACCAATGTTATATAATGAAGAGGATAAATTGGAATTTAAAGTCCAAATTAATGAGTTACTAAAGTTAAATCTCATTAGAATGAGTAAAAGTCCTCATAGTAGTCCAACATTCTTGGTAAGAAATCATGCTGAATTAAAGAGAGGAAAAGCAAGAATGGTAATAAACTATAAAGAATTAAATAAAAATTGTCTATTTGATGGATATTTTATTCCAAATAAAAACAATTTAATTAACCTTGCAAAAGGAAAAACTCATTTCTCAAAATTTGACTGTAAAAGCGGATTTTGGCAAATAAAATTAAAAGAGAATTCAGTTAAATTAACTGCATTTAGTACTCCTAATGGACATTACGAGTGGTTAATAATGCCTTTTGGATTAAAAAACGCACCACAAATATTCCAAAGAAGAATGGATAAGATCTTCTCAGAAGATAACTATTTAATAGTTTATATTGATGATATATTAATATGTTCTAAAACATATGAAGATCATTTAAAACATCCGAAAAAAATTTCAGAAAAACGTTTAAAAAATGGAATAATCTTAAGTCAGAAAAAAGGCTGAAATAAATAAAAATGAAATAGAATTTTTAGGAATGATTATTTCTAAAAATGGAATAGAACTTCAAGTACATATTGCTAAAAAATTATAGAATTTCCTGATAAACTTACAACAAAAAAAGAAATCCAGAAATTTCTAGGTTGTTTGAACTATGCAGGAGAATTTATACCTGATTTAGCAAAGAAAAGAAATTTACTTCAAAAGTTAATAAGAAAATCCAACAGACTTGGTTGGACAAAAGAACACACAAAATGTATAAAAAACTTAAAAGAAGAATGCAAAAATTTGCCCAAGTTAAGACTACCAGATGAAAGTGATAATCTAGTTCTACAAACAGATGCATCGGATTATCATTGGGGTGCTATTTTGCAAACAGGTCTTAATGAAATCTGCAGATACACAAGCGGTACATTTAATGACGCAGAAACAAGATATTCCACTAACGAAAAGGAATTATTAGCAATCGTAAAGGGAATTAGAAAGTTTTCTACATTTCTTTTACCAAAACAATTCATTATTAGAACTGATAACACTCAAGTTGCAGGACTAATAAACAATAAATTGCCTTCAGAACCTCAATACAGGAGACTTCATAGATGGCAAGTTTTATTATCTTTTTATTCCTTTTCTATTGAATACATAAAAGGAATTGACAATTTTCTTGCAGATTTCCTATCAAGAAACGTCCTATATGGACAATCAGACGAAAATCCTAGTTAATAGGATATATGAAAGGATGAAAAAGTTGGATGAATCCATCGACGAGAAAGGACAAAAATTGTTCAAAATAAGAGATGAACTCTCTAAACTATCAGAACAATCTCGAATGCTGCAATACGAAATAAACCAACTTGGCACTGATCAAGCCGAAAACATGAGAGCATTTTTACTTCTCTGTGAACACTTGGACTCACGTCCAACTCAGAATTCAAATCTGAAAGAGAATATCATTCTCAACAAGGTGGCAGGAGATGTCCCACCAGCACCTAGTGCAAAAAACATCTCGACGGTACGCACTGATATGCCATCTTCATCCAAAAAGGATGTAAGAGAAAGCCGAGCAAATGAATCTTCTAGCTCATCATCAATTAAAACTGAAAAAATATCTGGAAACCCAGAAAGTAAAACTAACCCAAATTCTTCTGAAGCAAAAAAATTTTCTTCTTTGCAGGTACGTCCAAAAGAAGAAGAGTATTTAAAATTCACTAAATACATTTACAATCTCCCAGAACACAGTGGAGAAACATATGGAGTTTTGGGAACTACTAGTTTATTCCCTAGAATTTCCATATTCCCAAATGGAATTCCAAGCTTTACAGCTCTATTATTTTAGTTCGGATTTTTGGATCGAGTTTACACAGGTCCAGACCTCAAAGAGTTATCCCAACTACCATCCAGATTGTTCAACGCAATCAAGAATGTCAGCCAAGGCAATGGAGGAGTATACTGTAGATTCTATAGTATTGCAATGGAATGTCAAGACTCTCAGGCATACTATCCAACTCTCAACTACATAACAGTTGAGAAAATAAAAGATTTCAACGTTAAGGCTACGGGAGTTGATAAAAAACTTCCTTTTTTTAACAAAAAGTGGATACAAACCAGAAGGGCATTAGGAATAAAAGCCTTATATGCCATTTTAAACAGATTTTACCGAGATAATTTCAAGATAATTGATCAAGATTCTGACTGGGTATTAATCACCAAGGAAAATTCAAAGTCAGAATTACTTAAAGAAAGGATCCTTGATATCGAGCTCCATAGATTAGGGGCAACAGAGGAGACTTGGAAGCTAGCATGTAAAATGTTAGAGCATGAACACAATCGATGATGGAAGAAGATCGATGTAGAAGACAGACGTAAGCACTTACGTAGTTAAACAAAAACGTAAGCACTTACATTTACAAAAGAAGAAGAAGACAAAATACTTTTCTTTTACAAAAGAAAAAGAAGATGCTCTGTCGGCCACAACAAAAGCAGCAGCCCATGTGAAAGAAGATAGAGACTTTTGACTGAGACGAGTCAATAATGGAATCTTTAAAGGAAGACCTTTAAAGATAAATAATTGTAAATAAGTCCCTCCTGATCATCTATAAAAGGAGAGAGATATTGTAATAAGTAGAGTCAGTCGAAGTGTGAGTTTTAGAGTAAGAAAAAATAAGAGTGAGAAAGTTTTAATATGAGTGAGTAGTTAACTTCTCCCGCTAGGGAAAAGTGTTTCTATTAAATGTCATATTAAGATATCTACTTATTATATGTAAGTAAGATTATATATATGAAATAAAAGTTTGTTTATATATCAATATTCTTCAAACTTGATAAGTAGTTCAAAGTGGAAGTTGCGATTTCCAGCCTTTAGGAGGAATAGCGAGAAAAGTAGCCGTAAGAGTGAAGAAGGCGAAAAAAGCTATTCATGGCCGAAGAGGAGAAATGATGAGGCATTGATAAGACTAATTATCAACTAGAGGAAGAAGGTATAAAAAACTATATTTTATTAAGTATATTATAATCTTATATACATGTTATAAGTTGTTATCTTGATTAAACATTAATAAAAATTACTTAGTATCTGTAGGGATTAAATCATATTATGATTCAACAACATGTTATGTATAAATATATCATACTATTTGCATAAATACGTATAAAAATGAAAATTATACAATCACACTTACATAGCGTAAGAAAAAGAGCATGGAAGCATAAGATAGCTTTGCATCATATAAAAAAGCAATTTCTCAAATGGAAAAAGTATATCAACATACTAATTATAGATATGGAAATTTAATTATCTCAATTTACGAGATGAGAATGTATAAAATACAAGAACAATATGAGTATAAGCATACTTTACTTATATTAAAAAATCATATACTTTTTACTGCATAATTAGATGATTGCTTGCAGTTTTATTTATTTACCCTGTTAAAAATAACAGGGTATATAAATGTTCATGAATATTTTGGAGAGATAAGAATGATGGGTTTTTAAATTGACGTTACGAGTTGATTTTGGCTCTATTTGGAACTTGACAGGTGATGGCTCAGAGAAGATGACAACAATTTTGTATGGATAAAGTAGTGCATTAGATTTGATTCTGATTTGTTAGACACATAAGAATTTTTTAAGGTAAAACAAATGGTGTTTTATAGTAATTAGGACTGAAATGATGATTTTGAAGAAGAAAGGAAGATGAAGAAGAAAAAAGAAAAAGATTAGCTGATGAAATACACGTGTCAAGCGTGCGTATTTCACCATAAAACACATGACTGATTATGACATTTTAGGGTGGAATCAATTTCACTTTGAAATGGTTCAAGAGGTACCCATGAATCATAGGTGTGTAGTTGGTATTCGCTAATAGGTTGGGAGGCAATTGACTATTTTCTCTATTAATAATAAAGTTTTTACAACAACCTCCAAGGTAATGTATTGCAAACAAATGCCGAACATCTTGTTAACTAGAATTAATTTTTCTTTTTAAAAATAATAATGTTATTTTGAAGTCAAAGTAGTAGTGTACATTATTTATATCTAGAAAACTAGTATAAAATTTTGATGGTACTAGGAAGTTACACCAGTTTCAAAATTAACAAAACTTAAACCAAGGAGTTTAAGGCAGGTGGGTAGATTGAAGTAGTAGCACACAGGTTTTAAAATTCATATGATGATGTTTTCATCATACTCAACAACTACCAATAATTTAAGAGCCGATAGAAAAAAAAATAGTAAGTGCCTTAATTACTCTTCTTACAGGGGAGAAGCCTTTGGATGCATTTCCCTCCTGATATGTTCTATAGACTTTGACTTCTCACTTGGAAATTTAACAGATTTATGAACTGGGCACAGCATCACAAAGTTCTCCTGTAATTAAATATGTGAACTTTTAAGGGAAAATAAGATGATGAAAACTTTACAATGCTCAATTTGATAAATATGTTAACTACTAGTTGTATTTACTTACCATATCCCATTGGCAATCCTGGATTTCAAATGCACAGGGCACATGATAACTCCTCCTGCAAGACGTCATGTAGCAGCCAAGCGCTGCACCCTTCATGCCACAACTACTACACTTGAGTTTTGTAGCTCTTGCCAACTCGGTGTCCAAATTTTTTATAATTTCTCCTTCATAATATACTTGAGGTGTCCTGTAACCAATGAAATTATGTTCTGAAAAGGTATCCAATCAAACCTAACTTACCTAAGTTTATTGACTAGCAAATAATTGTGGCGTTCACAAATAAAGCAGCACACCAAAGGATCAACGGAAATATGAAGTAATATAAGAATGAGATTTTGCTTTAGCAGTGGAGATACAAGTCATGTAGTGAAACAGCCTTTACGTGTTGCCTGATTAGCTCTATATGAGTTAAGCCGTATCTGGATTATTCAAATATGACTAAATTCACTAAAAACACAGTTTCATAAGCACAACAGATTACGATGATCGATTGTTACAACCAAAGGTTACTAAACACATTTGGATTGTCCGATTGTGTTCTTGGTGCATCTGCAGGGAGGAAACTCATGCTCATATGTTCTTTGATAGCTCTATTCCCAGGATATCTGGAAGATTCTACTACATTGTATGGGACTTAATAGGCAGATCGGATCATGGGAGGCTGAGGTAGGGTGGCTGTCAGTCAAGGTGAACAATCGAAGATCTATGAATGCTATCATGGGGTTTCTATTTGTAGCCACTGCTATCATCTCTGGTTAGATCAAAAAAGTTGAGAGTCAGTCAGAAAGCACATGATAGCAAAGCTATCATTAGAGTCATAGTTATATAGTTACATATAGTGGGTAAATGGACAAGCTGTTTAGATAGGCTTAGTTGTTTTCCTTGTTTTTAGACTTGGTTCTGTTTTGTTTAGCTGACCAACTAGCCATAGTTTCCTCTTGGTTATTTTTGAGGATCTAACTCTAGTGTCCAATGAGCTAGTATGTGAATATTGACACTTCTATTAAATAAAAAGAATTTGTTAGACCAACAAAAGAAGGTTCCTTTTTTTCTCCAACTGCAATTGTCCATAACATCTATCCACAGCTAAATAATTCAAGCATAAAGATGAAGAGACATAATGCATTTAAAGTCCACTTGTTCCATCTCATCCTGTTATCCAACACCTACATAAAGAAATAAAGTGATTGCACAGGATTGAGCTGTCACTTAACTGCTACTTAAAGCTTCCCTTTATCAGTTGTGCAATAATCAAACATTATTATGTTTTTTGAAATGGCAAGTAATTATAAAACAAAAATATGTCTGGAATATCTAGCAAAGTGATTTTTTTTTTATG